CAGCAGGGGGAGGGCAGAAAGGGAGTGCAGCAGGGGGAGGGCAGCAGGGAGTGCAGCAGGAGGAAGGCAGCAGGGGGGGGCAGCAAGGGAGGGCAGCTGAGCAGCCCTGGACCAGCTGGGGTTGGAGAGGCCAGCCCACTGGCCCCGATGACACGTTTTCGTGGAACAAAGCCCTTCTCTTTCTAACAGAGCTTTTTCCCAGGAACTGGCCCACGTGGAATAAAATAAATAAATAAATCGCAAGAATTTTTTTTTTAAGGAGGGAGTAAAAAAAAAGTTCCTGCTGTACATAACTCGGGGGAGCAGATGTTTTTCCATTAGCTCACTGTTGTCTGCTACACTGGCTCTCTACATTTCTTGCTCGTGGCATGCTCATTATAATACTTTTTTCCTAGGGCAAACTTGAGCATGTTACTGAGACTGCAGGTAGCCCCCTCTAGCAGCACTGTGAGTACATGGAATAGTTATCCTAGTCGTTTTCCTTTGAATGCTCCTTCAAATTAGCCTTGGGTCTACCTGGTGAGAACCACAGACAGTGCTTAGCAGGCATTTAGCCAATCTTAGATCAAATTACCAGACCTACTTTTCTGTGAGTGGCCATATTTGGTAAAGTATTGGGTTAGTCAAGAAGCTAAATTGTCAGATATAAAGAACTAGTAAAGACAAACAAAGTGGACATTGTAGTTAAAAGCAAAGCTTAAAATAATACAGGAACAGGAGCTGGAATATTAGAACTCTTCTAAAAACTGGCATGTAGCATTCTAAAATGCTCTGTATAAATAGAGCATACAGTTATTACTGCCTGGAAATATAATCACACATAATTCAGATAAGAAATCACTCCAGTTAGCCAAGTAGATTAAAACTATTTAAACTATTTCTTTTCAGTACTGACACACTTTGCTGTCTGGGACAAAAGTGATCTTACAAAAATCTTGAATTAAGGTAAATTTTGCTCATAAATTTGAACAATTTCAAGTACATTTCCTCTAGCCCAACAGCATGATTGTAGTTTCTAAATAGAAAGAGGCATACTGGTACAAGTTTACAAAGGAAATAAAGGGTAGAAATTGTTCCTAAGTCAGATATTTCTCCCAGTCATTCAAGCAGTATTATCACTAGTAACCTCTAGGACTTTCCTTTAAGCTCTTCCTGCAACAAGAGGTGGAATGAGTTAACAAATTTTACCAATGCCGCTTCTCTCAAAGTTGAATTCAAGCTCTCAATCATGAAAAGCAGAAAAAGGAAAACAGGCATATGGATCACATAAAGACCACCTCTTCTGGCGCTGCACCACAGCCACACGTGCACTGCAGCACCCTTCCTGAGTACTCCCTGAAACGAGCTGTTTCTCAGGCTTAGGGCCAAGAATAATGTTTAGGCTTATTAATGTTAAAGCCTAATGAGACAACTCTCTCCTTTTAAGAAGCTATTACGTTTCAAGAGGACTGGGAGGTTACTGTTAAAAGGGACCAGACAAGCCATATTAATCACAGTATTTGCTGCAGAACACTTGGAAACAGAGTATGCCTATTAGTATTCTTCCAAGCATGCCTGCTGCGGGGAGTAGACAACCTCTCTAGTCTTTGGGGACAGCAGATCTTGTACTCTTCCAAAGCTAACTGTGACTACCTGCAGGGAAAACAGGAAGATATGGAAGCCCACTGAAGAAATGTGCAAAGTTCCCTGCTGCAGATGACTGCACTCTCAGCTGGTCCTACAAAAGATGACTGAATATAAAATTAACAGTAAGAACTCCCAGTTTTATTTGGATGTGTGAAAGAGAAGAAAAGGACTCTTTCTAGACACCAAAGATCCATCAAGCAGCTCTTTGCCTGCTTACAGTAAGCTCCAAAAAATAAGCTTGCCAAACTTCACTAACCATTGCTGCAGGGAAAGCCAAGCTGCAGCATCCCTTAATAGTGCGGCACATGTGGACTTAGCAGCTACACTTCCAAAGCTTCTGCTTTACTATCTTCCCTACATAACTGTCCTGGTCATAAAACCAGAAAAGTTACAGATAAAACCATGAAGTCTGTGCCCTCTTATGTGTGAGTCAAGTATCTTTATCACAGGACAAAAGAGCTTAACTATCTGCACAGGGTACAGAGCCTTGCTCCCCTGCAGCCACTGTTACTGCACATGTTATCAAGCACCAATAGTGAGACCCCTTAGGAGATCAACGAGGGCTCTCCAGCTCTAAGAAACTGAGGATGCTTTTGTATAAGGCAGGAACTCCTATTACAGCTGCAGGGAGAGGGTGATATAGTAACAATTCCCCTACATAAGCACCATCTGATAGCTACCACACACACTCACTGGGCCCTTTCAAGTGTGCTGGCTTTGTGGCCTGGCCTGGCTGCTTGCAGGCTGCAAGAACAGCCTGACAGAACTGTGGGATAGTTGGTTTTGTATGCCTCTTTCCAATCTAAGTGCAGAAAGCTCTAACTGGATCAGTCAGTTGGTACCATTAGTTTTCATGCCTTGGGATATGAAGAGGCATGGGAACTGTAATGGCTGTAATGGAACCCAGACACAATTGCAGCCTGGTGCTCTAAATCCATACCCACACACAGAGACACGGCCAGCTGTGTCCTGTTAAGTGTCTGGAAAGGACGGATGCTTTGTTATAAATTTACTGTATTATGAGGTTAGGAAATTGTAATAGTTTTATCTAAAGATTTATGATTCACGCTAAAAAGGTCAAAGTGTTAATGACAACAAAAACAACAATACACGAGTCACTTCCCAAAGGCAGATTAACATTTTTTCCCTTTAGAGATAGGACACCGAGGTATGAAAAAGTTAGGCAACTTGCCTAGAGTCACAAGATGAGTCATCGACTGAAAAAGGACAAGTCTAAGCTAAATCTGTTAGAAATTTACAGCATAATGGTGTGGCTCTGTCATTAATATGAAGGGACTCCAGATGCAAGCACCAGAACATTAACGCTGATTGCCTGTTGCTTTCCACAGCTGTTAATTTTGGGATGAGCTGTAACACAAAAGCATGTGACTACCTCAGCTGGTTTTAACCACACATTTCTGTTTTATTATTTTTTAATGGAATATCTCTATTTTGGAAGTTTTTAACATCTTACAAGTATACCCATTCCTCCTTTCCCCTCCTTCCAGATGGTACAGATTCTAGTACAGAGGGTCAGTTATATCCTTTTGGACTATTCCACTCACAAAGCCCAGTGTAAGATCCGACCTACTTCAAAGAAGTCCTCTAATTATTCAAGTGCTATGCCCCCCTCCACATGAGTAAAGACTACCCCAAAATACCTGCATCTCTCCTCATCCCTCAGGATACCAGAATGCAGAGACTTCCACACCATTTTGAAGAGAATGGGCAGTACTTCACCAAGAGCTCATTAAGCTCCATCCATAGCAATAATTTCAGTAACAAAATTACAAAACAGTCTAAGTATGTATTTTCAGAATATCAATCCTGATTCAAGTCCAGTTAAAAGTATGCACGAAACAAAGCAAAGATTTAAAACCTGATAGAACAGGACGGAAAAGTTACAGCTTATAAAAATAAATTCCATCCAAATGAATCAACTAACACACCTCAGAGGAAGGCACTCGATTTGCACTGAAAAGTAATTGTAGCAATTCACAGCTAGGTCACAGCAAGCACTAGGTCTTTTTTGCTTTTGTCTTTTCTCACAGCAGCAAAAATGTAAACTGCCTAGAGCTATCTGCAGGATGATGGACAACAGACACCTGACTTCTCATTACAAGAAACTCCAGGTTTTTTTGCTCCCCACCAGCCTTCTCTGCAGCCTTAAATCAAGAGCATAAAATGATTAAAGCAATATCTTGCTAGTGATTTTGAAGCCCACAGCAAATCACTGAAATTTACATACATGCAAGCCTTTAAGTGAACCCATGAATAAATTAAAGCATAACACATTCAATAAGGTAACTTCTTTTGTTCTTTAATAGTCAAATTGTAACAAAAATAATGTCACATATTTTGTGTGTGACAAAAACAGCTGTAAAACTCTTTGCAGAGAAGTAGGGTGAGACTGCCAGGTTTTATGTGAGAAATGTCAATCGTACAGATTAGCTACATGAGAATTTGAAAGGTTCCCCTGCATACAGAATAGCAAATTATCAGCACGGTTCCAGTAGGGTCTTTTTTTTTCCTTTATTGTTGCTGCAAATGGTAACAGGCACCTAAGAAGCAATCATAGTGCTCAAATGTAACTTCAGGTGCATAACTGTGGGTCCACTTGTGGAAGAAAACCTGTCTCTTAAGACCAAAATTGCAAGGTCAGGACTCTTTCTATTAGTCCTGAAATGCAAATAGCAGGATATGATGTGCAACTCTGATCCTCATCAAGTGTCCTACATAAAACCCTTTCACGAGTTTGGAGATAGCCTCTGGCTGGAGTTCCTTCTCACTGTTCTCTTTTCCCTTTATGTGCTCTGCTGTAGCAGCTCTGCATGAGTGAGTGTCTGAAACTGACACGCAACCTACATGGCCTTGGGAGATTCAAACAGTCAAGGATAAAATGAACAGAGGACTTGCTCTTTTTAATAATTTCACGTAAACCTCTGCAAAGATCAGAAAGTACCCAGTCTGCATAACATTTAATATATGGCTTGCCCAGTTTTATTACAGCACAACACGTAGGAAAAGCTGAACGAAAACAATTGTCCTTACCAACTACCATTTGTTAATGATGCATTACCAACCCCCTTGTTTTAAAACCGCATTTTAGCAACGACTGAAGTTTTGTGTGTTATGGAAAAATAAAGGTGAGCTGGAAAATCGCGCTACTCCAGTCTTGTTGGGGCTCTTCGTTGTATTGAATCAAATCAGTGATATTTCAAAAAATGGCTGGGATAGATAGGCAGATTTTCTACTGGAATAAGGAGATTTTCAACTACTGATTTCAACTACTCCGTTAATATTTCTGTCTTCTCATTCACCACTGGAGGGAAAAAGGAACTCCAGGTGGTCCAGGACTTACCAGCTTGTAGCCAGATTTGTTCAAGAGTTGTCCACAGCTGCATAGGTCCTTGCTTCATTGTGCTGCTCTGCATAGTTATTTCAGACATGGCCTGTTCCAGTCTTGATGCAGCAAGGGAAGAGGCTCGCTGTGATCCTATGGACCAAACAAACAAGAACAATAATGCATTTTATATTTCATTGGGATATTTCTTTGAGTCATTAAGGCAACAGGTCTGATTTTCTACTTACTGCATAGTTTTCTGTAATAAGAACTCCACTGAATTCTGATGTGACCAATTGATGAACTGTGTTTTATAAAAGGTTAATTCACGGAAAAACCCCCACTAAATTACCCAAGGGCTGCAGCTTAAGCAAGCAAATTAAGGGACAGACAGTAATTATATAAAGGTCTGCTTATCATTCACCAAGGAAGCAACAGTATTTTGCTCATTTGGAAAGCAGAACACCACCATCAAATATTTCCCACAAATTCTTCTTAGTAACCCATCTTATAAGCACACTGTCACCACACAATTACAAACTATGGCCCACTAATGTAAAATCTTAATACAGCATTACAGGGTAACTTGGCACCTTTCACACAGCACACATTACAAGTGACATAAATATTGTTCTACTGGTTTAGAGGCAGTGTGGTTCTTCATTTAATGTTGGGGAGCAGAGAGCTTCTTTGACTGTATTAACCTTTAGTATGTGCTGTAACATTTACTAAAAAATAAAGTGTTTGGCACCCACATCTCTGAGAACAAAACATCACGTCAAAAGCCACTTGCAGGAAGAACACATGGGCAGAGACCACATTCTCTGGTACAGCAAGTGGGGTTATATGGGCAACCCAAATTCTCAGAGAGGTATCAAAAGGATGGCAACAAAATAAGAAGCTACAAAATGAGATTTCGGAGTTGGCTTTGTAAAGCTTTCGGAAATAAGTATTTTAATATACATAGGTTTAATGTGACTGTAAGATTGATAAGCTCTTTCTCTGGAGAGCTGCTGTGACTGAAACACTTGCACTCTTCAATATATCCTTACAGGCTGACCTTGCAGACCACAAGATCCTGGAGTTAAAATCCCACTCTTTCTCAATGAAGCCACCCTGAGCGAGCAGCAGAGCCTAGGAACAGGTACTTGAGGGGAGCTGAGAAGGCTCTGGGCAAGGGAAGGGACAGAAGGACAAAAAACCTGCCACTCAGTATATGCATTAAGTGGTCTCTCTGGGAGGGTCAGCATGCTCTTCCAGCTGGAATGTGCTGAGGAGAGGGGCTGCCACACCACAGCTCCCTGGCAGCAGACCCTCACTCAGGGCCAGGGCACTGGCAGGCACAGTGGGGTGCTCCCCTGGACATGGTCCCTGGCTCCTCCAAATGCTGAGTTGGGACCCAGCCTTCTGCCAGGGCAGAGGGGAGGCAGGTTTTCCAGCCCTCCATGCTTTGAGCTCACCCGAGGCCGCGATGCCAGTGCAACTTGCCACAAACTGCTTTGGGAAATATTTGTCCCATTATCTCACTGCTAACTAATGTCATTCATTTGAAGCAGGAGAACTTCAAAACAGCCCTGCAGCACAGGTACCTCCCACAGATCCTTGGAAAATGCAAATGTGCTCTTCCTAGATGCATTCCTTAAATTCCTACATATTTTTTAAGACATCCCTGTTCTTGTGTTCCAAGAGATGACAGTGCAGTAATGTAGCGATTACGGCTTTCATGGTACAGCAAAAGCCCTTCTGCTTTGCAACCAGTTTATTATATTTAACAGTTGACTTAACAGATCCATCTTCAGCCTGTTTCACTAAGCAGCATTCCTCCCCCTGCCCTGCCCACTCAACTCTCCTCTCCCCCCATCCTTCTCTACACCTGGGAAAAAATTATCTGAAACTTCCAGGAATTCCAGTCAGACAAGGGTTATTAAACACCATGAAAACTACCAGGCACTCGCCTACAGGCATCCAAAACACCAACCGCCTCTTTGCACTGCAGGGGCACCAAGAAAATGGCCACGTGAACAGCTAGTGATGTTATTAGGAGCACCTCGAAGTCAGAGCAGAACTCTTGCCTTCTAGATTGGCACACTTGGAAAAAATTACAGGGGCTTTGCAGTCAGCCTAACCAGATTCTTTTATTGGTATTCCTGATCACATTGGTATGCTTTGAAAGCAACTTTTAGGATTACATTTCTCTGCCAAGACTGCCCTCTTTCAGAGAGGCTTTCAGGAGCTCTGCTTCTTGCAAGCACCCGAACATAACTGGTCTGATTGCCTTAGGTGGGCAGATGGGCTAGTGTTTTATTCACATCCTGACAGAGCTCAGGGAAATCCTCTTTTCCTTGCAAGGCAATTCAAGGAGATTGTGTCACTGGTAAGGCACCTTCATGCATTTTGGAGAGGTTCACACACTTCCATGAGGCTGAACAACCACTTAGGACCTACTGAAGCACCCTTCCCTCACAAAGCAGTCTTTACAGGAATATCACTATGAGCTAGTTGCACTCGAAGGAACACAAGTCAGCTGCTCCTCTTCTCTTCATTAGCCGGGTGGCTGCCAAGAAAGGAAAGCCTGCAATTTGTGACTGATCTTGCCCAGTGCTGAGGGTTTCAATCTGCACTGCCATAAAAAGGGAATCCAAATTATTTAGCAATTTACAGTGGAGGCTCTTTGCATTTAACAGCCTTTGGCATTTCAGTCCTTTGATGTTTATTTTCTTTTCCATTTCAGCCTACACAAGGAAGAGAGTTTCTGCCACACCAGGCAGAGACCAGCTGATCCCCTCCTATCCCTGCCCAGCCTCAGACACAAAAAACATTCTTGTCCTAAACACAAACACACGCCAGATCCAGGCGCCCTCCATCCTAGCTCATACTCTTGTTTGCTACTTGTGTTCTTACCCACCTCTGCTGGACCACTCACAGGAATGCTCCTTAAAGCCTGTCTGCCCAAATGTACTAAAAGAAGGTCTCTTCCAGCCTGGCCCTTCTGGACTGAAAGGGTCTCAGCCACAGCTCTGAACCTCAGGCAAGCAATATGGTGACCCCGGGGGTGGGCTGAGGACTATTTGAGCCAGAAAAGGTGTTGCCTCCCAAGGTAAGAGGTGGCCAATGTATCACTCTTACCTTAGGGTGGTGGGGGAAGCCAGAAAGTCTTCAAGCAACATTCAAAAGGTGACTTTGAACACCTCATTATAAAAGATCTCTTCATAAAGAAATGTAGTTCTTTATATATATATAAAAAACCCCACAAAACTTGTCTCACGGAAGTTTAATGTCATGCCTCAAAATACATGCAAATGTTGGCATAAGAAGATATCACATCAATTTGTTATTTTAGTGCAGTCTCTTTCTCTTTTTAACAGCTTCACTAGACAGAATATAAACTTCACATTTTACAATAAAGCCCTCCACACATTTTGGAAAGAAATCATAAAAATAACAAAATTGATTTTGGCATGATGAGCTCTGCATATAAACCATACAAAATATATCTAAATAATTTTAAAGCACTGTTCTAGGGCTGTTATAAGACCAAGAAGGACAAAGTTTAATATTTCGCATCTATGAAAAAACTGCAATCAAAATAGAAATGTACCTCAGTAGATTTACTAGGCTTATAAGCAACACAGAATTCCCTAGCCTAAATCACTTCAGGCAAGAGCATTAGAAGACTAAATCAGAAAAAGAATGAAACAGCAAGGCAGCTGACTGATATCGGTGAATGTAGTTAGGAACATTGTTTCAGTTAGAAGATGAAGAAAATCAAGAGGAATTAATCTTTCTGGCAGCAAACTTAAAATTCTGGCACAGCAAATAATCTCATTCTGGTCTGAGGGAGAGGCCAGTGTCAAACCCGGCCACAGTATTCCCCCCCCTTTCAGTGAGGTCCAGAGATAACAGAGCGCTTGTGTAGTGTAGTGATACTGCTGCAAGCTCCCAGGGGATTTCACAATGGAAACCAGAGCCTCTTCCAGAATGATGAAAAAAAATTATAAAAATGTCAGACGTCCTCCCTCCTTCAAAGTAGGCAGCCACAGATGCAGCTCTGGGGAGGCACAACGGCAAGTTGGGATAGAGCTGTTTTCTCCTATCTCTCATCCTGCTGTCTTCAAAGAGGCTCCCAAAGGGGACAACAAACCCAGCTGCCTCCTTTCTGCTGATGGAGAAGTGCAGCAGAAGTACAGCCTGCAGAGCAGTGATCCACAGACCCTTGTTGAACACATCCAGTGCCAGTCCTGCAGTGAGATGGGTGGTGTGATTTTGGCGCAAGCCCCATCCTTACATGTATTGTGGGTGCAGCTATGTTAGCATGGAAACCTAGATTCTCTGAGTGGAGGAGGAATACATTTCTTGGCTAAAAACTAAACTGCATTCAGTGCAAATCACTTTATGTGCATGAAAAGATGGTTCAGAGCTTGTACTTCACATTAATTCGCTCTTTCTGGCAGGCAGTACCATGACATCCAGCACTTTCTGCTGAACTGCAGCTGCTCCATTGCACACTGGCTGCTAAAACTGGGCTGGAACAGGCACCCAGCCCAGGTGCTTTTTGAGGAAGGCACTGCACAGAGACCAAACGTGCCTGAGCTTTGCAGTAACTCTGGGGGAGGTGCTGCAGCTCTGCTGCAGAAGGCAGGAATGGGGTCTTAGAAGGGTGGCACCCCAGCACATCAAAATATTATAGGCTCTGCTGGTGACAAGTTGGTCTGAAAATGTTAAATCACGCTGTGAAGTGAATGTAGCCCAAAACTGGCCACACTCCTTTCTCCACACAATAACAAAGCAAGGCAAATTACAAGAGCATTGGGTCCAAACCCAGAAAGCCTTTCACAACACCAACTAGAGCTGAAAAAAACAAGGATCAAAGCAGGCTCAGCCCCACAGCCTAGGCACCATAAGCTACTCACTGTTTTAACAGCAGACTGGGAATTGGATGGGTAACAAACACTGCACAAATAATATTTTTTCGGTTTTTATTGCTTTCCTTGTAATGCCTAGGGGCTGATGGATTCTGCAAACTACCTACAGTGTTTTCCAAACCATTTTCATATATTCACTGAAACTGAAAGCCCATTTTACTGCCTAGTATCAGGGATGATAGGGGATATTTCCCAAATACTCACAATTATCAGTGATGACTATTCCTAAATGACAAGGAAACTTTCATGCCATATCAACTCCCCTTTCCAGATACTTTCTAAATAAGCCAAACAGAACAGAAATTAATTTAGTATATCCTTTCCATCTATCTGTGCTAAATTTGACCTGTACTCTTTAATTAAGCTGAAGACTATAAAATACTGTCATATAAACAATGAGAAAAATGACATATATAAAATACAGTCATCTCAGCCAAGGGTAATAGAAGTTTAACTGAATCAATAGATTAAAAATTACATGAATGTGTGCACAGAATGAGTAAGATTACAATGTCATAAATATAGACCCTAAGGATTTAGCACTACAAACAAATGAGCAGACATGCTGAATATTGTTTTAATGTTTGTATGCTCAAAACCTAACCTTGCAATGCTTTTTAACCATTTATACACAACGTGTGTGTAAAGCACACATGATTTAATACAAGTCATATACTTAACACGTAAGAACTTATCCTTTATCTCAGCCATACATGCTAAGCATGTGACTTCAGTTTTACCAATTCCAAATGCTCAAGATTAAGACTCAGATAAACCCTAATTGCCTAGCCCCAAGGCATGAGGCTTGTTTAAGTATTAGGTTTTTTAAAAAATAAGCTTTTATATTCTTCTTGTCTAGTTTCTGAGCCTGTGAGGTGAACTTTTTTTGTGTTTCTCTACATACACAAGGGTAGAAATTGCTTCTCTAAAAAAACCCCAAATTAAAAAGCAAGTTTCTCACATAATCATCTGATTTTGAGAGTTAGGGTTTTAAAGGAAGCACCAAATGTCATGAGACTTATGATAAAATCACAAGTCAGCAGCACTCTCTGAAAGCCTCCTTTTCCTTTCCTGCCAAGATTAGCTTTGATGTCTCAGTTATTTCCATCTGACTATATCCATTACTGGAATGTGTGTTTACCATTTAATAAAACATTGTAAGGCTTATGTACAAATCCCAAACCAAATCATCCTCTAATAGGAACTGACACTTTTACTCAGCTTTCCAAAACCCTCAATAATATCTGGCTTGATCAGGACATCTAAAAAACATTAAATTGTGGCAGAGAGGAGGGTAGAGAATGACGAAGGAGTTAAAAATAAGACCAAATTCCATGGTTCTTGCAGAAGTATAGTGAACTCACATTCAATACCTTTCATGTTCGTATCAGAGAACTTTGTAAAAGAAAGCAGGAATCCATATATATATTTTTTTATGCATGTAGAAGCAGTGGAACAGAGAAACCATAGTGACATGCTGTGCAGCAGAGACAACCCTGGAGACAGACTGGGACCTCCTGACCCCCAGCCCAGCAACCCTCCCAAAAGAAAATAAAACATTCTTCTCTCACAAAAACATGTATTTAGAATGGGAACACACAAATCTTGTTTCCTCACCAGAATCAGTATCATGAGCATCTGGGAGTGTGAGATGCAGTCCATTATGCTTTTTGATCACTGGTGTTTCAGTCACACTGCTTCCTTTCTCAGAGGCACTGCAAAGAAACAAAACAGTGTTACCTGCCCACTTTTCAAGGGAGAGACATGTCCCTCGAAGCAGACAATAGTCTCATCTAGCTGTCACTGGAATGGAAAACTCAAGCTTTCCAGTCGCAGGCAATCAGCTTCCTGAATGTGTTAACACCTGCAGCCTGCCTCTGGCTTGAAAGCTCAGAGTCACGCTGCCCTGCAGGGGTTCCAGGGGATGTGACACTATCACTTTATTTGGCTGTTGGTGTCTTCACAAACCGCTGGACAAAGAACATGTTTGTAGCTGGAAAGCCAAGCCAGAGAAGGCCAACAAGCAACCTCACACCCTGGAAGAACCACCATCCCCTGGGCTTTTCTGCAGAAGGATTTGTTCACAGGTGTGCTGTGCTGATCTTTGTGAAACTAGCCAATTGCCACCTTCTTCCTAGGTGCTAATTTCTTAATTTCAAAGGGATTATTTTCTCCTCTTCCACCTTTGTTCTGTTCAGAGAAGGAAGATAAAAGCTACCACACAGCACTGCTTTATAAGAGGCTGTATCATCTGCTCTTCTACTAGACTTCTGTCCTCACAGCAAAGGTCTTCCAAAGGGAAACTCCAAAAAAAAAATCCCAAACCAAATACATGGCTAATGAAAATCACTTAACGGTGATCTCCTGAGCCTTCCTGTCACCACATATTCTGCCACCCCTCCCCGGGATCAGATGGTGATGATATCTCCTCTCACCATCCATTAAGGGACAAAATATCAAAAAGAAAAGTGACTGCCCTGGCTACTTTTTCTGGCACACTTCCAAGCCTGCAGCTCAGCCTTTGGATGATATTCCTCCCAGGAAACAAGCTGTCACAGAGTCATAATTGCTGCGGATGTCCAGTTTTTCATTCTGATCAGTCCTTTGGTAGGGATTGCACAGGATTCCCTTGAATTTGCATTGATCTAGCAGAATAGTTAGCTTGGAACTATTTGGTTTTAAACATGATTATTCTGTTATCACAGAAAGCAAGAGCAAAAGCTAAACCAACTCTTGTCCTTCCCAGCTAACAATCTGGGATTTTTACAATAGCTAATAAATCTCTTACTTGGGTTTTGGGATCAAACGTTATGATTTCTATTGGTGGACCTCAAATTCTTGGGCATTTGACTGTTTGCACAAACCTCTAGCCTTGACTGGACCTCTCCATCTTCCATGCTGGTTTCCATGCTTATATCTTGGTAGAGACTATCACATGGTGACAGATAAAAGTAAATTCTCTGTCCTGTACCTCAGGCTTGATGAGGTGGCCTCAGTTAACAAAAATGCACCTCAAAGCAGTCAAGAGCGTGGCTTTTTAACTGGGAAAAGAGACTACAATCCCAGCCTGAAAACCAAGTGGACTGCAAAACAGCCACTCCCAACAGCTTTGTTTATTATGCTGGAGAAGGGCTGAAAATGAACTGCTCCTTCAAAGCTGCAGTACAAGGTTTTAAGCCAAGAAAGCTTTTCCATGCACCACAGAAGGGACAGCAGCCAGATGATTTGCCTTCCACATAGAACACTGGGACGGCTGGCAGCGGGACATGTTGCTGCTCCACTGCCCAGGTTTTTACAAGGTAGTTGAGACAGTGGATAAGATGGTCAGAAAAACTGCTGAAGGAAACACTTGATTGTGAGAGACTGCAGAGGCACCAGTTTATCAGAAAGAGGACAGAGGTCTTGGGCACGGCCTATGAAGAACTGCCTGGAGGGAAAAGATGTGGGCATGAATGCTCTTTATTCTAGCAGGGTCACAGTAGGATTGCAAAGCCTGGAAACCTAGGCCAAACAAATGCAACCAAATGTAACTGAAATGCAGTTTAATTGTGTGGGCTATTAGCTACTGATTGAACTAGTAGAGTAATGGGAGCAACAGCTCTCAATTTCATGTCAATACAGGCTTCTTTTTCCAAGAGGCTCTAAAAATGTCTGTGTCCAAATGTCACTGATGAGAATTCCCCCTAAGTTCCTTTGCAAGCCCAACCTGGAATATTTCACATATTTGTTAGCTGATACTGCTGCAATTTGCTTAACATGAGGTGCTTCCCCTGGGTCACTTAATCCAGTTTAAAACTGCATGTGCCAAGTTCATTCCTGTTACCTTTCAAGCAGTATTTGCCAATGAAAATACTTTATGAAGTTGTTTTTTTTTGAGAAAGCCAGAAAGTCTCACAGGGAATAGCAGTGAAATACACATTAGAGTTCCTAAGAGCAAAAGCAAAGCAATTTGTTTTGTTTAGGCTTCTATGGCTAAAGCTTATCAAAAGCCTCTAAAGCTATCGCATCTTGGGTGTTTAAGTGTAACAGCCAAAGCACAGCTTGGGATCCAAATGCAGTCCAAATGGCTGAATTCCTTATTTGTCTGTTTTCCAATGTACCCTCTTCAATCTCAGGCTTGCAGCCGCTTCATGCAAGTATAACTCTTACTCAGTTGTAATAGTTCAGTGTGGATTTGATCAGGAAGGAATGCTTATGGGTATAAAGATTATTCATATGAGAGGTACGTGATTGAATCCTTAGCTAGAGACTAAAGCCTTAGGAAATAAATTACTCCAGCCTGTAAGTGACCATTTCTCTGCTGCTATGTAAATATCTGGATTTTTGTGTTTGGTCTGCTGCTTATTAGCTAAACCAACAAGGAATTACTAATAATCACTCAAGGACAATGTGCATATAGACATGCATCATGCTGTACACACACTTCTGGTGTTTAGAAAGCTTATGTAAATGCATACAGAAACTTGGGAACAATGCAAGCTTTTATCTGTCTTCTGTCATGACTGTTGCCATTGAGGATGCTTCTCCTTCCATTAAACACAACCTCTATGAACATTACAGGTGAGAGATTAAGTACAGTATTTTACAACATTCCCAGGACTGTTGTACAGTGGTGTCATGACCAGGACAATATCCAAAGAGTGTGGGAAGGAAGAAAACCCTACCCGGTAACTGTCACACTTCCTAAACTTTCCCTTTTGGAGGTGAGGGAACAAACAAGGAACCAAGCACTGTTTAAATGCTGATTTACTAGGAAAAGGGAAAGGAGAAAGATGTTATATCCTTCACTCCTTTCCTTGCCCAGTTAGCACCAGGCTTTGCAACCAGCATCCAACCACAGAACATGATAGAGTTTTGGCCATGTGCCTTTCCTTGGCTTTTTCTGTTCAGAACTGTGTCACCCCTACACATTTCTGGGTTGTGCCAGCTACTGCAGACTGTGAACAATAGCTGATGGATGCTCAGCACTATTGGGGAAAAAATCTGCTTTCCCTTCTGGACATCTGAATATGGCTAGGGATGTTTAGACATTCAGATCACAAACGCAGTTCATACTGCTTCTTCAGTCTTAAAATCCTGAGATTGTTATGTTGTTGTTGTGGGTTTTTTAAAATCATGGCTGTTAAAATCTTTTTTTTTAAATGACAGCTAGAAATACACTTATGTTTCTTTTTAAACAGTACTGTTTATTACCCTTTTTGTAAAATAACTTCAGTATTTAGAAAATTAAAGATAACTGCATCTCCATTATGAAATCTGAGCTTGTTAAGAGAGTGGAGAAAGCCTACCTGTGCTGTAAAACATTATATACCATCTGCCACATCTGCAACATATGTCTGCATGTCACCAGAGCCTCTTCAGGTCCTTTATGTATCCATTCCAGTTTTAGTTTGGTGAAGAGTAAGCTGCAAGAAGAAAAAAAATAACTTCTGTTTTATTGGCATCTCATTATTGTGGAGAATCAGTATCACTCTTGCAAGATCCTGGCAACCAGCATTTTTACTCACTTTGCATGTGCAGCATTAAAAGCAAACACTGTAGCACAAAGCATTTCATTTGGCTCAACTTCGATTCCTCACAAGGAGATGAGAGGATTAACAATATTCCTCAGCTGCAGTCAAATCTGCGTCACAAAGCTGGCAGGATGGTGTTAAAAGCAGTGCACCGCAAAGTTAACAAGGTGAAACATACAGGGAATCTCATTTTATTTTGGACAGCATTAAAAACACAACTGCCATAATACATATGCCACACTGTTTTCTGAGTCTGGCATCTTCCTATAGCCCTGACTTATATAATAACTTACAGACAAAAACCCCAACAAACTTTATAGGCAGACAATTATGTAATGCTTCACAGGAAGGAAACGCTTTTTCTTAACACCAGCTGGCAATCATCTCATGCCCCAGGCAAGACAGCTGATAGCCCTTGCACATTCCTGTTCTAGGTAGTGTAACCGCTGCTACTATTCTTATACCTAGAGAACATGTACTTGCACAGACCACTGGAATCCGGCAGAATTAGGTCAAGCAGAGGTTAGAAGACAGATTCGGCAAATGACACAACCTACCACTTGCTGCTAGCATGGCTTTTAACACCTTACTTCAGTACACTAATTTGATTTTTATTTTTTGATTGCCAAAATGATTGACTTAGTTTCTCATTACTCATGTAAATCTATCTCTCTGCTTTAAATGCTTTCAGGAAGTCCAAGATCTATGCATTTTCAATTAGCTTGATAAGGCTAGTGATTAATCCACTGGACGAACGTATGTGCATACACATGCATACAACATTAACAGCTGAGAGTTTAAAATCCTGAAACCAGTATTGTGCATGTGACCCGCAAGTCCCTGGGGAATCCAAACAGCTTCAGAAAGAGACAACTGCATAGATGATGTTAGAGAAGACTTTGTGGCTGAGTAAGAGTTCCTTCACTTGCAATAATTACAAACCTGTAGCCAAGTCTCTGCAGTGCATATCTACAGTAATGTGCTAAAACAGCAGTCCCATTCTGCAACAACAAATGTTAGGGTTTTGGTGTTTTGTAGGTTGCTGGTTTTGGGTTTTTTTGTTTCTGTTGGGCTTTTTTTTTGGGGGGGGAAGAGGCATAAGAGGCAGAGAGGAATCACCAAAATGTAGCCCAGCTGCATCAGCTGCTATATGGAAGTCTGTTCATGGCTCCTGCTACAGTTTGACCTCATAGGACGAGCATTTAGCTAAATTCCCCAGGTACAAACTTAGGCTAGGAAAGGAAGATCAAGGTTCATAACTAAGGGAATTTGTCTTTTACTTTTTTTATATCTGTACTCTATGTTTACCTTTGATTTTCTTCTTACTGATCTGAGCAAAACAATACTAATAAAAACATCCCCTGCTCTTGGAGATGCTGACCCCCTAACTGAAAGGAAGTGCCCTTATTATGATTCAAGTAGCTTTTTTTTAATAATGCAATTAAGAGGTCAAGCAACACTTAGCACCCATATACGGAAACACAATCAAGTAGGAGCTGGAAGACGTGTTCATTCCTGTTCACAGCATCATTAAGAGACTAACTACAATTCTGTTTCCAGTTCTTGCCCTTTAACTCCAAAAGATGACAAAAAAAAAATGGGCTGAGGTTCTGAAAAAGGTTATGTAAGTGATCTGAGGGCTAGAAAAACATATTTCATCCAAGGCTGAAAAAGCTTACTTTATTTGTTTTAACTGAGAAGCAGCAAAGAAACTATTTTGTCCCAGCCTGCAAGCACCTAAACAGAGAAGTATCTAATTGTGAGTCTTGGATCTAATAGAAAAGGTATCAGAAAATTCAAGGATTTGCTGGAAGATGAAACTAGTCAAATGGAGATTTGTAATCAAACGCAGACATGTATCTATCAAAGCAAATAACCTTTACAGCATGCACAGTAAATTCTGTAGTGTTTAAAGCCTTTTCAGCATGACAGGGTAACATCTGGAAAGCAATGATAATGCACAAATAGAAGCTATAGGTTTGATGCACAGGCTCATGAGTAGCCTTTGGAGTCTTTTCAGTCTTTGGACTGTGCTGTGCAGCTGGCTGAGACTGCATCATCACCTTCCTTCTGGCAATTATGTTGTTAAAAATATTATACTAGTCCAAGCAATGGCCACATGGAATAATGCAAGCTATTTATGCAGAGAAAATATTCCTTAAACCACTACAATCTTTCAAAATGACAGAACTTCTAAAGCACTGTATGACCCTCCTTGCAGCAGAAGAGAGGTGGTCTAGGAGCCTAAGGCCTACAGAAAAAAATAGTCATATTGCATCCCTGAATAACTCCATGTTTTTTAACACTGTAAGATACCACTCCTAATATTAATAGAAGAATACAGGAAATAAGACTCTATTAACACTCATGCTACTGCACAGGGGAGATTTATTAAGGGTCCCTCCTCCCTTTCACATTACTAGGGATACAGATGGCTTAGTTATCAGCAGGCAATTAAAATCATTACACAGTATATTTAAACATCACAGTTAAACATTAAAAAGACAAGCATCAAGTTCTTTCCATCACTCTGCTGTTTATTGCTTACAGTGATTATATGTCAATTTATTTGGATGAAGACACAATGTTCTATCTCAGGAGAGAGAATAAGTAGTGAAAAACAGAAAAAAAGCAAATCCCTCACAAAAACATAATGAAGTCTCAGCAGAGTCTTACCACCAGCTGTAAGGTACAGACACACAAAGGTTAAAAAAATAATAAACCCACACACTTTAGCAACTGTCTGCAGTGCAGCATTACCAGATCTTGGAGATACCAAGCGCTGTTAGCTGTTGTGCATTTCACCTTTGAAATAGTGCTGTTCATGGTGCCATGGAACAATACAGAAAACCAAACAAAAAGGCAAGTGGGAAGAATGTAAGTGGCAAAAGGAATAAAATCATGCTGGCAACAGTAGTAAACAATGCAAATAAATATTACAATTAAGAGGTGGAAACAAATTCAGGACATTAAGCTGCATGTGCTATCAGCTGCTTGTATTTCTCAGCTTCTCATCAGTTTTGTAACAGCAAAAATAAAGAAAAATATAGGGAAAATTAAGTCAGGTATTACTGATCTCAAACTTATAATTTTATTACTAAGATAGCGCTCTTGTTACAAATAAATAAAATGTTATTGTGCCACATCAGTGTTTGCAACAACTCTCAAGGGCATAAATAAAAATTACATATGCTCAGATTTCACCTTATTATATTTTCTTAATATCAATTTACTGTACTTTCATATGATGCTTGCAATGCTAAGCAGAGCAGACTCTTAAAGAGATTCAACATCTAAAAACAGTCCCAACATTATCAATACAGTCACTGGTAATCCTGTTAGCCTCTGAAAATGAAAACAGAGTGATTTGGGCTAACACAAACATCTAAATCATTACTAAACATAGAAAAAGAGAGCAAAGAATCCACAAATCATTCTTGTAATGTGCATAATTTCATGGACAATAACAATGGAAAATAACTAGTGCTTACTCTCACACTGGACTCTAAACTCCCTCTCAGATTATTTTCTTCTATCTTGTATACAGACAGCATGCAAAGGCTTCTATTCCCCGTTCTAACATCAGATTACTGCCACAAGCAAGCATATGTGTCTATCCTAGTAACATTAACTCTGGCAAATTAAAATCTGTATACAGTTGACATTGCTAAGATATGAAGCTCTGAAAATTCAAAATTAGGCTACCCAAGTATCAAAATTTTAATAGTATAAATGACATAAATGTCACTATAATGTACCACCCATTGATAAAAAAACCAGGGACTGGAAAACTGGAAAGCCTATTAAAATTGTCAGCAGAAAGCAAGCTACTTTGGTTGGTTTCAGGAGGTATTCAACATTTCATGTCTTCTTCAATGTCTTCTTCAATGCTACCCATGAAGAAAAGGTCTTCATGTCTTCTTCAATGCTACCCATGAAGAAAAGAGGCAGTTCTTTACTATCATTAACAATCTAATTACTGAGGTTTAATAGTTAATACTTATTATGAGAAGGTTTCACATGTGCATATGGTATACTATAAATACTTATAAGCACATCTGTGAAAGAAGTTGCAAGTTATGTTTAGTAATAACATACTGACTACTTTATGGGTGCTCTAGGACTATATAAAGATTTATTAATCAGTTAATTATTGGGACTTCTTTTAAGCTTCCTTAAAATGGATTTTTTAATATCAAATGTAGCTCTTTAACTACACATCTATATGGCATCACAATGGGATCTCTGTGCCCTGTTATCTGAAAAGCAATAAATAATGCTAGTACTACAACAAACAACACTACGTTCCACTCTAAATTAGATAGTCTAAATTAGGAACAAGGAGCATTATGTAGTCATGTATCTATGTTTTTGCCATTCACTGGCTGCTTATAAGCCCTCCATTTTTTCAGCGCTTGTCAGCAGCTGCTCAAAGATCTACACGTCTTCAAGCTTTACCAGATCATGGCCGTCATTCCTCAAAGCGTTTCATTATTGACCCAGATTTGCCTACCTACACACACAGCTGCTGGGTTATTTTGGATTTTGAATTCAAAAGAAAATAAAACAAAACACCAAAACTGGCAGCAACACGTCCCAATTCACCGAGACAACTGTGTACCTTAGCATGAAGATACTGAACTTCTGCAACTAATATTTGTATTTAGTTTCTTTCTTTCATTAAATGACAGGATACATGTGCCTGTTTGTTTGTGTGTTTACAGACTTTTGCCTGGAGAGAGCAACCAGAATCCTAGTCACAGCTCTGAGGACAGCAAATGCACTTTATCCAATGACTGATTTATGGGGTGTTGGAGCTGCTTGCAAGTGCCTCTTGGACAGCAGAGTCCAGCTCACCCTTCTACCTCTTTGAGGCCCAGATAAATATTCCA